AAAATTGCAGGCGCATAATTGCTCGTGTTTAAAGAATTCTACCAAATACACAAAACGCCCCACTATGCGGAAGCCTCACTGACACGAGTCACTTTTCCGCTTCATCGATTTTATTTTACTAATCCACAAATAAAATTTCGCGAGTTCCATAACACAATAAGAAGTATGCACCAAGGGTACAAGCACGTGCTAGGGACAGGATATCCCTAAAGCGTTCAACTCTGAAGGCAAAGCTTCATGATCCTCCATTTTTTGATAGGTTTCTCCTCGTGATGAATTTTCGAAACAATGATTGTGTTCCACGCATTGCTGTTGTGATAGTTCGCAACTGTATAAAATCTAAATGTCAATGAGAGCTAACAAGCTATGACGTCCATTAGAACAATAGGACAGGTTATTAGAAGTAATTGTAGAGAAAATGTGATGAAAGAAAAGTGGTAAAAAGATAACTTCTCGCCAGCACGATCCCGAACTCGCGACCTTCATTATGTATGAAGCGCAGCTATGCGTGAGTCATAATGAAGTTGAAGAACTGGGCACGACTGAAAGTGAACGCTTTGAAAGATTACGTGCAATACGCTTACCATGTATAAATGCAGCCAACAATGACGCTACTGCTCAATAATTCAGTATCTCTGCACGGTAAGTTCGCAGTTTGCTTCTTCAGAAGAAGCGTGCACTATGCACCGGGTTATATTGCTGTGTTGTTGGCCAAGCGTCAGCAAATGGAAGAATGCGAGTAGCAAAGACAGGGCCGGTACTGATTAGAAATCGAGCAAAGGCATGTCTACTTCCACATTGACGATTTTTGGGATTCAGTTAACGTTTCTATTGACCACGGGTAATGAACATAATTATATTGCTTCTTTGAATAGTACCTCCAGCACTAAAAAAAACAATGGGCTATTCTTCATTCTCATGAAGTATATTCAAATGTATTCTTGTGCGTGAACGCCCTCCAATATTCCGTTTCTGTTATCAAAAATAAACTGGCATGACTTTGCTATGACGAAAACGTCTACAGAAATGGAGTATTTTGATGAACGGCCATATGAAAAACGACGAATTATGAAAGGGAGTATCAATCAGCTTGCAATATGCCATAAGTGACAGGTCAGAATGTTCCTGCAATTTTTTATTGCGACAGCTCTTTTCCGGATGCTCGAGGGTGATTCTCGCCGTCGCCGTCATGTTTCGTAAAAATTTCAAATTAGTTAGTATTGCGCCCACACGAGATACATTATACTTGCACGTGAACGCTTACGTAGGTGGCAGACAGGCGTGGCGTAAGTTGTTGAGAAGAAGCGCCTTGGCCAGCTCCGTTGGGGTGAAGGATCATGAAGAGGTGTCGACCGGAGGCTGTGTCGCCAAGTAGCAACCGCGAGTGTTGACCAAAAAAAGCATGGTCGCACGTGCTATCAAATTATATTGTGTACTGCTCATGCCGCAGAATGTACTGAGCTCCCACCACTTTCTTCGTGTGATGCGCAAGATGGCGAAAAAAGCACTTCTCTTATTTACGCAATCGTCTGCACTTACATTCTGTAGCAGATTCTAGAGCCCTTTTCGGAAAACATGATCAGGTGGGCTAGTTCAGTAGTCTTCATTTTTCCATATTTGTGGCTTTTCGTATGTAGAGCATTACATGTCGTGGTTCTTCACTCAGGCACTCATAATAATGCAATACCTCTATCTGCCAAGGATAGAGGAAATTCAAATGGGAAAGACCTCAAATTCATGCATGTAGAAATATTACTAGGGAGTAGCATAGAAGCACGTCAATTTGAAATTGTATCTGGTCGCCAGAGTGCTTTGCAGAAATTGTTCATGGTCAACTCAGCACACAACAACTTGGTCTTACCATCTGCCGCACTGAAATTTGGGTATCGTCGGCAAACAATATTGTGCTTACCTACAATATACTGAGAAAACACTCCCTATTAAACTCCACGACACCCACTCATTGCTCTCGCTCTCATAACGCAACATTGCACTAACACAAATGCAAAAATTGAAAATAGGCAACAGCTACATAAGTACTTTTAAGTCTCCTTTTGCAGTTCCTTATGTGAGCCGCCCTAAAAGGAGAGATCAAAGGATCGATTATCGCAATAGATGTTTGGAACACCTTGACACCTCAACAGCAGGATTGATGCAACAATGAAAAAACGTGTTAGAGCATCTTGTGCGCTTAGAGTACTTAGTATTGTTCACATACGTTCCAAAATAGGGCCACTCAGACAAAACGGGACTGTCCGACCAACTAATGGTTCGACCAGTGCTGATAGTATTATGGTTGGTTCGGAGATGCAGTTTAAGTTACCGTGCTCTCCTGCCAAACTCTCGTGAATGATGACTCACACAAATGTTCACTGTACACTTCTGTTGTCGTTCCAATAAAACTCAATAGTGCACGTCACTTCTTGATAAAGGGAAATCTTGAATGGTTTATGAAAGCTCTCCTTTCCACGTCAGTGAGAACAATCTGTTCAATCACACATTCACTTTCTCGTTAGAAGACGCAAGGTGCCAATACGTTTTTTTTTTCTCTTCAAAACTTATCGTTCGCGGTTTTCACTGGGTTTTTCAACCACTCGGGATAGTTCAACGCTTGCCCTTGAAACCATTCAATCCAGTTCACTTTCGCTATCGGGCGGCGCACTTTTGACGTGCTCTGAAAAAAAATCTGTCGTGGATGCACGCCCAAAGGCTTTTTATAATTGACTGTAGAACGAGACGATGTAGCTATAGAAGTTTTCAAACCAGTTAAAAACACGCTTCCTTTATATTAAGCTTAGAAAAGCTTGAGTGGGGGGGGGGGGGGGGTTAAAGGTACACGCACAGAACTGCGAACCGTGACCAGTGCTATTCGAAAAGCTGTGAAAATGGCTTTGTTAAAGGCCAGAACAGAGGCATCTGCTCCTGCGTTGAGTGCCGTCGCCGTTGCCGCCAGTGACGTATCGAATAGATGTGTTGGATTGTTAGTGATGTCCATTGCTCCTGAAAGTATTTTTTTGAACACCAGATCTGAAAAAGCAACTGGCATACCTAAAAAATTATAAAGAGAGAAACCCGCGACCTCGTGGGACTTTAACACGGTTCGTCGGCATGGTAGTCAAATATCCTACTACAAAGCCACGCTGGTGCTTTTTTCTTATTTTAGGGAACAAAATATTATCAGTAATCTTTACACACGAAGAACATGTAACCAGGCATACCTAAACAGAAATCAATCAGAAATAACTATGCCCTGATATATACTGTGTATTTGCAGCACTTAAAAACGAGGACAATGAAGACACAAATGACACAGGCTGCGCAACCGTGTGTCGTTAATGTCTTCTTTCTCCTAGTTTTTTAGTGCTGCAAGTATATAACAAGAAGTGTACCAATGAGCCGAGTATACAAAATAACTTTTTTTTACAACGAGGTCCGTTTGAATCAAATTCTCATTCATGGTCTCTTTCTTCAAGCATATGGTCATTGCTTTATTTATTTTTTCTTTGTTTTAGGGGTGAAGCTCCTTAGGGTGTGGATCTGTCCTTCTTCTGTCGGTGTACATAGCCACCTTGCAATTATCCCACTACACCCCATCACCGATCCACCACTTCAGCTACCATAAAGCCAATACTTTTGAGAAGTAGGCAAATATGAAATGCAAGACGGTCGTGTACTGGTATCCTGGTTCACTTTAAATAACCACTGATTTTCCCACTGTGTCCATCCCTTGTTTCTACGTGACCGCTTATAGTTCCACCTTTGCGAAACTGCCCACTACTTCCTTCCTCACAAACAGGCTACGCCCTATCGCCGATCCATCACTTCGCTGACCATAAAACCCTTTTAATGAAGGAGGAACACAAGCGACGCAAAGCTACTACTTACCAATAATAAATTTTTCTATAAATATACTGTTTGTCACGTCTTTTATGATGTAGTGGGCGATATTCGCGAATAGGTTTACAGTTTAGCGATGAAAACACTTCCAGCGCTTCGCAGCACTCATCATCGTTTACTCTGCTGAATATGCTGTGATTTTTTTATTATCCCTTTAACTTGATGGCACATTTACTGCAGTTATCAATTTTCATTCGCTTTATTTATTCGTTGCGTTCTTCTGATGATAGACCACTGTGGTACATTTCAGAGCATGCGTCTGAACAAGTGAAAACTCTCAAAGTGCGTGTACTTCGCTGAGCAGTGATTTACATATAAAATATGATGACGATGATGATGATGTTGAAACAAGAATTGAATTGAGAGCTGCTTTCATCACGTAGAAGAAAATTGCGATTAAAACTTTTGTATCTCATATTTATTAATAAAACTGGAATCAATAAGGATATGTGTTTACAGACGTCGTATTATTTGTCAAATCGAATTGATCATCCTTTTAAACTGAGAGAATACCGTCCCAGGACTGGAATTTTTGCAAATTCTTTTTTGTCAGAACAATACATGAGTGGAATGGGCTCACAAGTGTACAAGTGTCTTCTGTAAATGAAATTGTGTTTTTTTTCGAATCTGTAACCCCCCTGCTATAACGCCTTTGGGCGCTGCAGGTATACTTCGAATAAATAATAAAGAATGATGATAGTCAGGATAGTAATGATGATAATAATGATGCGACTTCTTAGACGAGTACGTGCGTGACCTTACGAGTATTGTGCTCTTTCTGCCGCAGAAGGACCCAACGTTACTGATGTCAGACACCTCTTACCTCAGACCAAATTACCCAAATTAGGGCATTAGAAAATTAAAGTTTCTTATGAGTCCCTCGAGTAATTTGTTTTATTCTTTGCAAGATTGTTATGCATGGACTCCAGCAAAGGGTGAACTGAGGCTAAATTAGAAAATGAGGAGCAGATTTATGCTGTTACGTGATCAAAACTCACGATGCTTAGCGCGGATAACACGCCATCAATACAAGAGATGCAACAGGACCCTTCTTTACGAGGCGTCCCTAAAGCGCCATCGGCTGAATCCGTATTCTACCTTACTCTGATTCCATTTGCTACCTTTCTTAGCTCTGGTGGTATAACTTGCTTGGTCTCACGGAGAAATGATATCAGCTCCTTGGAAAGTCGAGTTTCATGTGGTGCTATGAAACTGCACATTACACCCGCTCCGACGAGTCCACTCGCGTACTTGGAGCGGCGCGAGTATTCGCTTGAACTCCTTGGGCAGTCATAGTTCACCACGAAACGCACTTTGTCCACTGCTTGAGCCCAGGCTGCCACGTTGGTCGTCACCATTATGGGGACCTTCTCGAGCTTTAGCGTGTTCAGTGCATATTCACGTTTCTGTGCAGTCATAGTCCCATGTATGCCGATGGCGAGCCAACCTTGCAAGCGCAGGTAGGACACAATATCTTCTACCGTTTGCTTCTGTTCGACAAAAACGATTGCCTTGTCACTTTCCTCTCTAAGAATATCGTTGAAAAGCGCTGCGAGTTTCTGCTCTTTCTCAGCTGTCTCGCAAACGTACACAACATGTTCCACTTTACACACTTGGTCCTCACGTGAAGCCGTACCGAAGGTGACGGTCACGTAATCACTCATCCACTCTTCTATCATTTGCTTCGCAACAATGCAACGGGAGGAAAGCCACAGAAGGATCTGGCGGTCAGGACGAATGTTGTCTACAATGACGCGAAGCTGCTTCTCGAAGCCCATACTTATCATGCGGTCAACTTCGTCCAGCACCAGGTAGGTGCAGCCACGCAGGTTTATCTTACACTCCTCCATGAAAGACACGAGGCGTCCTGGCGTTGCGACGCAAGATGTGAGCGCCTTCGCCGAGATCCTTGAGTTGCGGTTCGCGGGGCTCTCCGGGCAGCAGATACGAAATCCGGATCCCTGACCCAGCCTTCAGCTCATCTGCTGCTTTCTGTACCAGAAGGGCCGCTATTCGCGTCACTGTGACCACCAGAACAAAAGGTTCAGAGCCTCGCAACACCGCCGGCTGGTGCAAAACGTGTATGATGGCTGGGACGAGGTACGCCTGATGCTTGTCTTTTGATCCATTGAGATCAATGACGACGAGGTCTTTACCTTTCATTGCAACGGGCCAGCACTGGGCTTGCATTGCCCTGAGTGCTGAGCCAGGGTTCAATGCCTCGATGACCTTCGATATGTGCTTAGGAAAACTGTCTTCGTAGATTCGCAGGATGGGCTTAGGAATGTCGCACCCAGTGACAGTGATGCCGTTGGTCTGCCAGTAGGCTTCGACTTCTTCCATTGGTCGCCGTGCTGTCGTGATGTGTTCGAGGTACACGTCCTTCTGAATAGGCGGCAAGCGAAGCTCCTTCCAGCGCGGCGCACGTAGATTGCGATCAACCTGAGTGTTCCGACAGTCGTTGAAGCTTCACTTCCTCGGCCAAACATAAAGCTACTTCTCCATGAGTCTCCGCTCACCTTTGCTTTTTGGACGAAGCCACGACCAAGACCTAAGGCGCTTGGTCCACCGCCGAACCCAGGAGCGACTGACTGGTGCGTTCGCGGCCGGAATGCCTTCGTTAGGACCGTTGATCGGCTCGTTTACTTGCCACATTCCGAGCTGCCCTGGTTGGGCTTCTAAACTCGATGTTGACCAGCTGCTCCAGATTATCCACAAGTCCGTCGGCTATATCTAGGACCGCCTCGAACGCGTCGTTCAGTTATCCAAGCATCTCGGCTGGCTGTTCGGTTCAACAGATGAAATGCTGAAATTTAGACGACGCGACACGCCGACGATGATGATGATGATGATGATGATGATGATGATGATGATGATGATTCCGATGCCACGGCTCGTACCCACTCAGAGGGATCGGCCAAGAATCGATTTTTTAATCTAAACCACCCACCAGAAAAAACAAAGAAAAAAGAAAAGACACCCTCGGCAGAATGAAAGGAGTGCAATAGTTGTTTGTCACTCGTTCAGATAAGACAATTATACATTATCTTGAATAAGAATCAGCATGGTTAAACAATGCTCTTGTGTTCGTTGGAATTTTTTTCACACGAATAATAATCACGCAATTAAAAGCTTCATTCTTTTACTTTCATTAAGGTACTTGCAAACTGCATAGAAAACGTTCTCGTGGCTGAAGCCCAGATTGTAAGCACCGAAGGAAAGTATGTTTTCTATAGTAAAATTCAGCCCCAGGCTAGCGAATGGGAGGACTAAGAATGTTTTCCTGAGCAATTTGTATCGGCGACATGATAAAAAATAGTGCTCTATTGTTTCCAATTCTGAACAAAACTTGCATAGTGGTGATATCGCCAGACCAGCCCATGTGAATAGAAATTTAACGGGGGGACACGACATCGAAATCTGGTTATTATGGTTTCTAACTGTCTTGTAGGACACCAATGAATTTTCCATGGAAATCTTAAGTGAGTGAATTCTGGTGTTGACAATATTGCTTCCATAGCGTCTGCACTAAGCGCAGGCTTTCTGTATCTTGTCGCAGTTATAGCGGCCACTTCGGGAAGGACTGATAGTACTGGCCCTTCCAATGCTGCTCGTGCTAGAGAGTCAGCGATTTCATTTACTTCTAAGCCGCAATGACCGGGTACCCATACTAATCTCAGTAGCTGCAGCTGAGGAGGAACTAGCATGAGGAGCGTCTTTAAGGCCATCGAATTTGTTGACACCGTAATCGACGTACATACTGACAGAGAATCCGTGATTATGATCGCATTAGCGGCATTCAAAGGTAGCTTTCGCAGCGCTAGAACTATTTCCAACAGCTCAGCTTCAAGAACTGGGGTGAAATCCGGTAATCTTAATGAAAAAGACCAGTCAAGCGAATGAGAGTATATACCTACACCTGTGTTTTCATCCATTACTGAAGCATCTGTGGCTATAATATTATTCGTTTCTGCGTGTGCAAGATAATCCTGCTGTCGGCTATTTAAGACCCTATAGGATTGTAATTTGGGCTTAGAGGGAAAAATCTCATTGAATTCTATCTTAAGAATTTGATTTGTAACCTGCGCCGCAACCACATCTCGAATTTTTACATTTAACCTATCTAGCTGTTTCTGGACAGAAGCAATTTGAGGTGTTCTAAAGCGTGGCCAATTGGCAAGAAAAAAGCTGTCTGGATCATTTATAAAATCATATTCAGATCGTCTTGGACGCATAGCTATAAAACTTCAGAAACGTCTGAACCGTTAAGATACGAAAACGGCAAGGAAATGTAGGTAATCGTGCTTCCTGATACAAAACATTGTTTGTTACAAACCTCGGAAGTCCTAGACACAATCTCAGGGCTTCTCGTTCCAGCATAACCAGAGGCTTTATTTTATAAGCAGGGCCACCTGAGAACAATACGCACCCAAATTCTAGGATTGGTCGCATATACATTTTATAGATCATCACCATTGTGTTTCTGCGTAGACCATATCGGTGGCTGCTCAGTCTACGAAGAATTCCTAAGGACGCGTTGTGCTTTAGATGCCATGCTATTCTATGTGGCGAGTGCAGTTTAGGTTGGCATTATAAATTACTCCCAAATATTTAAGAGATTCCACCTGCGGAATGGGCTCTTGTTTATACCATATTGAAATTGAGATGGGATCGGATAACGGGAGTATCAATACTGCACTCTTATTACATTTAAGGTCATGCAAATTGCATCTAGCCATCTATCCATTATATTGACATATATCTGTAGCTTTCGATATAAAGAATATATGCCACTATGTGCCGTGAAAAATGCAATATCATCAGCATATACAAACACCTTCACGTCCTGGCGATGCGGTGTAGCGCTCATTTTATGTTAAATAGAACTGGCGATAATACAGCGCCTTGGGGGACACCACGTGTTTGTTTGCACTTTGACGATGCGCAACCATCCTTAAAACAATAGAACTCTCTTCCTCTCAAAAATTCCCTCACCCACGCCAATATATATTTTGGGAGATCGTGGCTCTCTAATATGTTCTAATAAAACTGAATGTTCTACACTATCGTTTGCCTTAGCTATATCCAATGTCACTAGTGCCGCATGTTGTCTTTTTTTGCGAGCAAGGCTGAATGCGGCTTTCTAATCTGCGTGTGCACACCAGATTGAGCAATCTGTTCTGAAAGCCAATTTGATTGGATTTAACACAAAATTTCCTCCATCCATACTAGAATTCTTTTATTGAGCGCTCTTTTGATGAGCTTCACCATATTATATGTAGGAGAAATGGGTCGAATGTTTTATGACATATCCGAATCCTTGTCTTTTTTGTGTCGGCACTATTTTAGCTAATTTCCACTCATACAAAATCCAGGCATACTTTAACGAATAACTTACAGTGTTTAGTAGGTCACATGGTAATAATTTGAATATATTTTTATCATAGCAGTAGTGATTCCATCCGGACCAGGAGCGGACGAGGGCAAACCTTGTATCACTTGTGCTAACTCTTCCTCTGTAACTTCAGTAACTTCAATCGTCAACGCTGGTTTTTGTGGATCGTAAGGCTTCGTTGATGTAGATATACTCTCCAGGCCTTTAGCCATGGTTTCTAAGGATTTCTTTGTTTCTTCCAAGGACATAATGACAAACCCTATATTATTTGGAGATGGCATCATTTTACGTGACCTCATGAACCTGAACAGCGCCTTTTTGTTACAAGCTTTTGAAAGGTGATCATAATGTTTTCTATCATATTGTTCCTCAGCTAAAGAGACTGTGCATTTAAAACTTGCAGCGTGATACTTTTAATCAGACCAGTTTTGGGGGCACTGGTTGTACATAAGTTTTTTCCAAGCTGTCCTTTCTTCGTCGGAAATCCCGGGCACTAGTCCGAGTTCCACCATGGACTATGGGTTGTGCTCTTTGCGGATTCCACAATGAATTCCGCATTTTAATATGTTCTTTTGATCAGTGCACTTAATATCATGGCTTTGGTATCTTCTTGCTCTTCATAATGAGTTGCTAAAGCAGATTCTAAATTTTTGCTAAATTTGGTGTAATTAATAAACACTCGAGTCTGAGAGCCTGACATTATAACTTGGCAAGCAATCTCGAATAATATAGGCGAATGATCGCTGTTAGTTGCACAATCACACGCACTCCACGACAAACTAGTGAGTAATGAACTCACAAAGCTTAAATCTAAGGCTGAACGAGACCTATCACTAATGTAAGAGGGTGTTCTTGAATTCAGACAACACAAGTTATTATCCGCTGTCCACTCCCACAATCTCTTACCGCATTGATCAGTTCGGAAACCCCAGCACGTATGATGAGAATTGAAATCGCCAATTAGAATTTTATTTTGATAACTAGAAGTCACTGCAGCGTCTAAACATCGAGTATCTTTTACACAATTAGGAAAGTGTGCATTCACCACCAAAAAAGGCATGCAGTCTGGTAAGGTTATTTCTAAGGCGAGAATTTCACTGTCAGGTGACATGAGCTTATACGCAATTTTCGCTTGGACACTTATTCTATTAATAATAAAAAATGCCAAACCTCCACCTTTCGATGGACGGTCTAGACGGAGAGATCTGAATCTATTTAATTGAAAAGACTGATGCATTGAAAGCCAAGTTTCTTGTAGAGCAATAATATCTGGAGAAAATTTCGATGCCAAATATGTTAGATCAGTTGTTGCAGAGTGAATCGATCGGCAATTCCAATGAAGGATTTTTAGTGACCCTATTGTCGCTCTAAAATAGCCTCAGCGATGGCCTTGTTTAGAATATTTTCTTTAAGAAAATCAGCTTTAGACAGGGTGTTCTTCTGGTACTTTTTGGTTTTTGAATTGACAGGTGCGATGCCTTTTTTGTATAAAGGGGATCTCGAGCGCTTTAGCGATCGGGGATCCATCTTCATTTCGTCTGAGTCCTCCACTTTCCTGGTAAGCTCGCATTGAGATACGCTACCTTCCTCTACTGAATCTGCAGCTACCGTAGGTTGCTGTGGCGTATCGGAGCCATACTCCTTTGAAATTTCAGAAGGGTCACGAATGTGAAGGGCTTTCGTGGCCTGCTGTGGCATATCAGAGTCATACTCCTTTGCAAACTTCGAGGAGTCACTAATGTTACGTGGTGCACTGAGGTTGTTTTCCGCTGTACCCAACATTTGAGCCATCTGGTGCGATAGAATCTGGGCCAAGGACTCACAAAAATTCCCAGCGATGCGCTCCATTACCTTCTCCACTGCCTTCTCAATCGCTTCCGCTATAGGGACAGAGAGAGCTTTCATTGTTGGCATATTACGAGCTGTTACACCAGCGTAGCCTTGTGTT